CACTGATCTCCTAGGAAAAAGAACAATACCTAACCTAGCAGATTACGAGGAGGTACAGTAGCAGATGGAAAGTGCAGAAGAAAGAAAGTTTTCACACAGTGGTGCTATCCCTCTGTATAAAAATTGTAACTTCAAAGGAAAAAATCGCCGGCCGAACATAAGACACGAACTCCCCGTGAACTAAAGCCTGTACCTCCCCAGCAGACATCATCGACCCTGAGGCCTCGGGACTAGTGTGAAAACCATTGTCTACTTACAGCGGAAAAATTATCATCTGCTATATTAAATCTCAAATTCATATGAACAAAGTATAATTCAGAAAACAGAAACATTTCAAAAACAAACGAGTAGAAACAATGGAAATCAAATATAATAAGTTGAAACTGATATTAATTCAAGCACAATCAAAATTGTGTATTCACATGAAGAATGAGTTAAAACACACATCTGTACACTAAAATACCAATCGAGAAAGTGAGGATTGTGCTACAACGGTAGAGGGAGCTACCTGCACTAGTATAGGTGATGCAGTATGGCTGGTTGAGGGTAGTCACATGATCAGCACATGTTGCTGCAATGGGTGAGTAGTGGAGGTAGTACCGTTTCGGAAGTAGGAGGATATACTTTTTAGTTCAGTTTCAGTCCTTTATGTGAAAAGGAGGTTTTGGTTTATGGAGTTGTGTTAGAATTGTTTTTAATTTTAATTGTCATTTTTAGTTTTAATGGCCTGAAATATACCATATGTAGACCCTGTATGCAACTAATTTGTGTTTTCATACTAATATGTTGATCTCACTATTTATATAAACTAGCTGAAGGTACCTGTTAAAGAAGAAAGATTGTGTAAAGGACAATGTGAGATTATGTTCCTCTTCCTTCTATCTTTTGTTATTAAATTCCTAATGACCTCATTAGATGCTAATTGTAAAGTCTGCTTTAAAGAAGGTAATAATTAACACATTTAAGTACTTGTGTCTTTAAATTCAAAATAAAAGTCCATAAAAAAGTGGAAATGTTCCCTATTTCAAGATGGTTTTAATTATGTTCCTCTTCCTTCTTTCTTTTGTTATTAAATTCCTAATGACCTCATTAGATGCTAATTGTACAGTCTGCTTTGAAGAAGGTAATAATTGACACATTTAACTGATTAAGTACTTGTGTCTTTAAATTCAAAATAAAAGTCCATAAAAAAGTGGAAATGTTCCCTATTTCAGGAAAATATCCTAAAACAAAATAGTCAATGTACACCATCGAACAGTTTTCAGTTACCATACAAAAAATTACAGCAAATGAGTCAGTCAACAATGGCTGATGCAAGCTAAAAATCTGTAAGTCTATTTCGGGATCTTTTTTATTCCCCTACTTGGGCAAACATCCTAAAAATGTAACCCATGTACACTGTCAGACAGTTTCCATTTATCATACAAAAAGGTTATGGTAATTGAGCCAGCCAACTCTAGGTGATGGATGTTAACACACATAATGGATCATCTTTATAGTTAGATATGAAATTCACTTGTGTTTTCATGATGAAGTATTGATCTCACCATCTATAATAAATACAAAACTCATTGTGTTTTCATAATGATACATTGATCTCACCATTTATATAGATACAGAATTCACTTGTATTTTCATAATGATATGTTGATCTCACTAATTATATAAATACAAAGTTTACTTGTGTTTTCATGATGATGTACTGATCTCACCATCTATATAAACACAAAACTCATGTTTTCATAATGATATGTTAATCTCACCATTTATATAAATACAAAACTAACTTGTGTTTATGTAATGAAATACCACTCTTACTACCTTTATACATATATGAAACTTTCTTGTGTTTTCATAATGATATACTGATTTCATTATTTATATAAATATGAAACTCACTTGTGATTTCAAATTTCATTATACACTGTATATACAGTGTATATGGATTAAATAATGACAACACATGAATGTTTGAAAACACTGAAATAAAAGATTTACAAGGTTCTTCCTTATTAGCATTGTGGTTAGTGCTTGTTACTGTATAAGTGCCTATATAACAAATATAAAATTATTAATTAACAACATTTGTATGACATTATTAACATTCAACATACAGTAAAACTGTTTGAAATTAACCTATTCATCCTTTGATAGACTAAAACACATCGTTAAAAATCAGGATTCCAATTGGGCAGAACTAAGAATATTTACTATATTACACAACTGAAAAAAAAATATATATATATATATATACTCCAAAAATAAGTAAAATGAACTGTTCCAGAACAGGAATTAATAATGCTACCATTGGTACTTTATAGGCCAAAGCAAGGTGCAACAACTTTTGTAATTAGCTTATGTTTGGAAGACAGAAGCAATGACTGGTATATGTATATTTTCCTAAGTGAGCATTAAAAAAATTTCTTTCCTGTACCAAGTGCAGGTACTTTTTGGTGAATATTTCACTCCTAAAAGTAGATCGAGTGGGTAATAAATATGTATGTACTGATGTAGATACAACCAAACATTATGATGTACATTTTTTATCACAGGATCGCTGATACTTACTAATGGAAGCTTTAAAATGAGTAACTTACAAAAATCCGAATAAAAAAAATCCATCATGAATGAAAATGAACATTCACAGTAGAAATTGTTTCACCTATAATGGAACTCCCACAGGATGTATTTGTAAAAATGAACTTGCCCGTTGACAAATCCTTATTTTCTTTAATGTGCATTGGATCTTAAAGGCAGTTTTGTTTTTAAGATCTTTTTCCAAATCATTTATATAATTTGAGAACTAGGTTGAGCTTTATGGTGAAGCATTTTATAACAAAAACTATGTTGCAAGACTACTGTCAAGATACAAAGTCATCAAATAGGGTATAACTGGACATGGTGACATGGACTGTAACAAAGTGTTTGGCTCTAAAATCATTTCAATATAACATACTCAACCACTATATATGTCAACAATTTTAGCATGTCTTTTGACAATGTATCATTTAATGACACCAATTACATACACGTGCAACTATTTGTGAATGGAAAAATATTTCTGAGCCAAAACAAACATTTGGCAACAAAAAATCAACATAAAATTCTTGCCCTTATTTACAAAAGTCAAAGGTAAAATTATATTAGTTTATCACAAAAACTGTGAATAAGATCTGCTTGAGTTATATAGAAAGGTAAAGTATCATTTTCAAAATATTAACACTACATAAACTAAATAAGTCAGTTTGATCAACCTTGGAACTATTAAACTATACATACTATAACTGAATTTACTTTGTGCATCTTCATGAAATTTGGCAAGCTTTTAGAAAACATTATAAGTCTGTTGTATACAAAAAACAGCTTTTTAAATAGTTACTTTTACAAAAGATTTGTCTGAATTTCTGAAGCCTTTAAAGAGTCACTCATGCTAAACATAAAAATACTTATTTTCATCTCACAGTTTTCTTATTTCACTTGCATAAACTTTTTCATATGTTTTCTTTTAATTTTGTGTTTTTATTGCTACGATTTGTACCACTAAAGCAATAATCTTTCAAAAAAATTAACACAAAAATCTTGCCCTTATTTATAAAAGTCAAAGGTCGACTTATATTAATTTATCACAAAATCACTCCTATTTAAATTTCAATTCTTTCCATCTTTCGGAAACTAAATGTACTATTCTCAAAGGACAATTCCTATGTTTGTGACATCCATGCTCTGACAATGCTGACTTCAGTTGTAAAGACAATTATTTTCAATAACAGAATCATCTCAATAACATCATTGATAAAGCTAAACTTGACACACTCAGTTATCACAAATCATAAGCTGACTGTGTTTCACTGAAATGACAACCACATACTGACAGAGTTTCATTAGTCCTTACATATCATCACTAAACAGACAGACTAGCAGAACTTTTTAATGCAACTTTACTAACAAGAGATAGCACAGCTAATGACATATTTAATAACTCCACCATTAAATTTCTTTCAAACCCAAAAGGGATTTAAAATACTGTTTAGTACATTCCAATCTGAAGTAATTTCATCTGCAAAAATTAACAGAGCTTGACCATGTGAATGAGCAATTTGCTTCACATGCAATTATATAACACCGACTTCACAACTCTATCTAGTACTACATTTATGTTCCACATAAAAAATCGGTTCACCTGTACATCAAAGTACATTATTTACTACATTTGCTGTACTAGATGCAACCAAATCTATATTGGAGAAAAAATATGCTGATTAGGTGATAGATTTTGGTAACACCTTTGACTTTACTGACACAGCACTCTTGACCATCCAGTACTCAAATACTAACAGACCATAATGGAACTGACAACAAGAATTTACTTGTCTTAAAACATTATCCCAACAACAAATCTGATTGCAAAAGCCTAGAACACAAACTTATACTTAAATTAAATTCTATTACACTGTAAGGAATAAATTGACAATTATTTTTTAATTCATTACATATTTCATTAAAGTCCCTTTTATCACACCTTATCAAATCTTGTTTTTAACAAATGGCACTACTACTCTACCAAATTCTCTGTTGAAACAACATCCATTTTTATGAATTTTTAATTCTTTCTCTTATATTATGTCATACCATTTATTTATTTTTGTAAATGTATAGTTTTGTCTTTTAGTTATCATTGATATTTAATTTTTGTATGAAAATGCCAGAAAACACATATCTTGCTTTTTATATGTGCCTAACATTCTGTTCTTCTCATGAGCTCAATTTCTAATTATGTGTCTTTATATATGAATTCTAAATGTTCTTTATACAACATATTGCCAGTAGATAAACCCAATTGAAGAGTACATACCCGAAATGTAGCCAATATAACAAGTTTGTTATAGGCATACATATATATATTGTAACTTTTTCCAGTTTTTCTTACAATACTTTTTCCCCTCTTTGAATCTTTTTTTTCTTGAGTGTGTACTAATGATAGTTAAATTAAATGCACTTACCCATCTAAGGGATTCACTACAATAGCTCTAGGTTCATCAAGACCCTCACAAATAAGAGTTTTCCTCAAGGTTCCCTGCATATCTGTTACTTCAATAGTATTCTTTCCTGTATCTGTCCAGTAAATGTGTTTGTAAATCCAGTCTACTGCTATTCCATCTGGAGTAGTAACACTCTCCTTTACAATTGTTGTTACTGGTCTACCTGTATCAATAGGGGCACTAAAAATCCAGGAAGAAAGAACACATCCTTAGAAAGTTAGATATGTGAAGTCTACGAGAAACTCATCACTTATCAAGAATATTCCATTAAGATAAGTTATTTTGTAATGCATCCTAATTTGAGCTGCTATATTGTCTAGATGAAATCTTAGGTATTGCACTGAAATGAAATAATTACTAAAAAGGGGTGAAATAAAAACAGCAAAATATTTTGAGAAAAATGTATTTGATTCTTTTTTATACACTTTGAAAAAGTAGGTTTACCACCTATTGATGAAATGAGAAGTTCCAACTGGTTAATACATATTAGCATGCTAATATATGTATTATCTCATAAATGTTTCTTTTTTTTTACCTTTTAATGCATCCCTCTGCAACATCTGACCATAACAGGGTCCTAGTGTGAAATATAAAGTCAATTGCAATGGCATTTTGAAGATCACTAACAACAGACTTATACTCAAAGCTTTCTATATCAATCTTCCGAATATCCTTTCTATTGCTAAAAAGCAATTCAGCTTGTCCTTCTGTAACAATAGAAATAAAATATATATAGTCATAAAAAACCTCTTTCAATTACTCTTCCCCATAAAAATACAAAACAAAAACTGGTGCTTGAATAACTACATCTGACTAGCCTCCAAAGCATATTTTGCTATAAAACATTAACATTTATTAACTATTTTTCATGACTGATTTCAAATGTTCATGGAAATAAAGGACATCTAAGGCAATATGCAAAGCTGTTAACATTAATAAACGTTGTGGAAATTACAGTAAGAAAAGTAAAAAAATTATAATCAAATATCTTTCCTTGCTGACCTGAAAAGAACATTCAAGATGTCACTGAATAGCTAGTGAAACATTAAGTCAGAAGTGTCAGGTACATAAAAAAATATTCTTGAACAGGTAGTAAAGACTGAATACTAAGTATCAAGTATTTTAATCTCACCAGGACCTTTTCTGCTAGTATTCAAGATAAGTTATTGAACAGGTAGATGAGGCTTAACAGCTCTTAAAAGAAATAAATGTGCATTTATGGTCTATTCCATATGAATGAAGTTAAACAAAGCTGCTGAAATAAACGATTAAACTTCGCATTTAAAAAGTATGTTAGACATAAAAATATAATTTGAAACAAACTTTAAAAATTATAAAGTGAAAAGCAAAAAACTTCACTTTCTTAAAAACATTGTGTAAGAAAATATTTGGTTAAGAAAAATTTAAAGTTTAAACAAAAACATAAATGAAAGCAAAATATTTTTAAATAAACTCAAAATTTCTTGTGTATTTTGCAAAAGGAAGAATTTTTTCATCACTACAAGTAGTACAAAATATTTGCATATGACGTTTTTGGTAAATATGGAAAATGTTCTTCAATAATGACCACAGATCTGTATTTTTCTTTTTTTTGCTTTCCATCTTTATGAATACAGAACTAATTGAATAATGGTGCTAAACCTATTCACTTTCTGAACTACTTTCTTTTGTACCTGTATTACATTAACTTTACAAAAAATTTAAATGGTTAAACCTTTATAGTACAAAGAAGTGACATAACCCAGTTCTGCACAGAATCAAACACATATACAACATTTTCTGCACAACAAAGAATAAACTTTTAAAATCCATAATTTGAAAACAACAAACTAGCATTTTAAGTGAATATAGTTAAAACTGATTAAAACGTTTTGGGTGCAAAAACACAAAATTACATCCCAGTGAAATAGCATTCTACTGGGAACCAATTCTCTCAATTGTAACAGGATACTCCTCTCATTTACAAAATATGTAGCAATTTATAAATTTCTACAGTTTTTTTAAATCTAAGATATACAATTTAAAAGTTGATTTTTTTTTGTAACAATAGATTATAAGTTTCAATAAATATTTCTTCATTAATTTAATACAAAGTGGATTGATTACTTCTGGCTATCATAATACTGGTATAATACTTGTAGAAAAAATTGCTAAGTATATCTAACTTATAATTTTCCTAGATAGATTAAAAAACAGAATTTAAAATTTGACTGTCAAATGTAAATATATTAAGTAACAAAACAATTAGCAATACTTTGGCTATTGTATAATATCCATACTGAACGCTGAAGAGACAACAACAGAATATCACATCCTTATCTCTTGTTTCTGTAATTTCATAGAACCGTAACTTGCAAAATGTTTAGCCTTTGTAAAGGTTATTTTTGTATATCCTTTTATTTTTTAAGAGTTACAGTATGAATATTCATATAAAAGCTATTTTCATCTTTAGAAGCATTTAATATTATTTCTGATCACAAATAACAGATCCTAAGCATGTGCACCTGGTAAAGAATACATAGGAAAAGCTGTATACAGTACCACTTGTTTGCATATACTTTATTAAGCTTCTGTTTCTATCAAGTTGCACTGAGGTACAGGCAGACTTTTTAAAATTCAACATTTTTATACCGTCCAAATAGCTTTTATCTCTTACTTCTTCACAACAAATGAACACTATTTTAAAACAGCATCACAAAATTAACCCAAGTACTTTCGAAGAGCGGATTTTCCTTCTTCAGGACAAACAGTAACCTTTTTTCTGCATTTTGTTGTGATATCTATTGTTTTATATGCATTGTGACATTGAATCTATGGCATATATGTCAGGGTTTTATACACAGTACTGTGCAAAAGTGTTAGGACAAAGTCAAAAATTAGATCTCAGGCTACTTTCAAAGAACAATGGATGGTAAAGCGCAGGTGAAACATCAAAATTTTATTAATCTTCATATTTAGTACAACAGAAACTCAGTGGTAGTGCTTGAGTTCTAAAACAGTTAATATTTTGTGTGTCCCCCTTTTGTTTTTATAACTGCAGACAGTCTTTCATGTATTGTTGCAACATATTTAATCAAAGTGTCCTTTGGGATTTTATTCCAAATGTCTCTAATACACTCCCATAAAGTTTCTTTGGAAGTAACTTTTGATTTGTCAAGTTTGATCTATTAAATCCAGATCTGCTCAATTGGGTTGAGATTGAGGCTCTGTAGGGGTCATTACTTCATTTGAATGACTCCAGCAGCTTCTTCTTAACTAAATAATTTCTACATAGGTTGGATGAGTGTTTGGGGGTCGTTATATTCTTGGTAGTAGAATCCTTTACTAATAATATGCAAACCACTGGGTATACCAAGCCAGATCAGTATCAGTATTCTTTCCTTGCCCTGGTACATTGTTACATCTATTTTGCAAATATCTCCTGTCACCTCAGCAGAAAAACACCACCAAACCATCACACTGCCTGCCCCATGCTTCATGGTAGGTGTTATGCATTGAGGTAAGTATCTTTCACCTTTCTTCTGCCGGACGTACAACCTATGCTTTGAACCAAATATTTCACACTTGGACTCATCCGTCCATAACACCCTTTAGCAAACATCAACAGTACAGTTTTAGTACTTTTTAGCAAATTTCAGTTTCTTGACAATATTTGGAGATCGAAGTAAAGGTTTTTTAACTGCTACATAACTAAATATTCCATTTGGTACATGGTTGTTTATCTCATGCATGAGATCAGTGGCAGTCTTCCTTCTGTCCCGAGGGGGGTGCATAAATGAAGATACTTAAAATAAGTATCATTGAGATTAGGTGTTCTGCCTCTTCCTTTCCTATTTTCAAATTTACCTGTCTCGGTCTCACGATGTATGGTGTACTTGACAGTGTTTGGGGAGCATTTCAAGGCTGTAGCAATTTGTCGGAGAGTCCAACCAACATCATGTAAAGCTTTTATGCAAACTCTCTGCTCTACTGACAATTCTCTACACTTTTTTGGTGGTGGCATGACAACAAAACTTAATATATATAGTGTTAAACACTGTTTTTATCAAAGTTTATTTGTGGAGTGCTATTAAATTGATTTCTTCTAGCCTATACTGTTACCATATGCTAGCTTATTTCTATATAGTTAAAACACTGCATGAGGTACCGTGACAGTTATTTCAGACCCTAAATTTGATCAGTATGTTCATTCAAGCAGAACC